CTGACCTTTCCGTCTCACTCCAGCTTCCAGCCTCAAACTGGGGTCTCCAGTGCATTCGTGGGGATCTGCCAATTCTCTACCAGGATTGCTTTATTCAACGTTTGTTTTGTTGACAATGGAAATGACTAATATTGCTATATTCTGGGTCCCTGGGGGGTGGGAGATAATGTTATCAGGGTGTGGCACCATGAAGATTCATTGGCCAAATTTGCATTTGTGTTTCTGAATTTTTTTGTTGGTTCCATTCTACTGATCATAAGTTATTGAGACAAAACAGGTGTTTGAATGTTGAAGTAGAGGCTTAATGAGGTCAGACCAATCTGTACAAATGAGGATTGCTTAGTAGAGCAAATAGAAAAAAAGAGAGAGCAGTGAGCATCGTAAGGCCTACGGTAGGAAGGGGTTGAAGAGCTCCAGAGAACCTGTCGTGGCTGCCACTCTGTAGTCATGCCGTAAGCAGCAGCTCCATCTAGTCAATGCCACATTATGTGAAATTAATGTTCATGTGAGCTTTATTCTTTTTGTAGCTGTATTCCTATTTTTAATTTGTAAGTTTCTTTTGATTTTAGAAATATATATCAGCAATAAAAATGAGGAGTTTACACCTATGGAATGTTTACAAATATTTAAGAAACCTTATAACAAGATTAATTGGGTTAGCACAGGGGGAGCTCAAGAATTACTCCCCTTTATATTGTGGAGATTTGAGCAAAAACTATTCTATTCCACTCTGAGCCCCACACCTTGGTTTGAGAGATTGGAAGCCCTGAGGCTCAGCTCTGATCCCCAGATTAGAATTGGCAGCATCAATGGCACAGGCCTCTTGGTCAAAGTTGGCTCTTCCTGTGCCTTCTGTGCTGAGCACTGACTTGGTGGTTATGCCCTGTATTCCCCTGGACATGCTCAGCTGCACTTGGCTGGGTGTGCTGGTCTTTCACAATCGGGAGAGCTTTCAAAGGAGTGCACCACAGCCCTGCCTTGAGTTTAGGGAGAGAAGGCTCCCCCGCCAGTTGCAGGAGGGGGACTCCAGGAGCTCAGAGCCACAGGAAGTAACAAGAGGAGGAGGGGCACCAAAGGAAAACAATCACTGAAATTCACACAAATCGTTGGAACACGCACTTGGCAAAGCGCTATTGCCTGTTCCCCAACAACGCGGTCTTCTGTGTGTGCTTTCTGGCAGCACAGAAAATGTTGAGTGTGTCATCCACGGAGATGACCTTGGACGGAGAAGCTGCAGCCGCCTGCCTGCCTGGCTCCTATAACACGGCACAGATCCCCAGCATCACGACGAGGTGGTAGAGAACATCTGGGAAGCAAAGGAGGCAGCGCACTCAGAAACAGCAGGGACCCGGGACTACTCAGCAGGAGCGTTAACAAAGGCGTCCACCTGGGGGTTGTCAAGTCGCTTTTCATAAATTCTACACATTTTATACAAAGTCTGTCCTGTCCATCCTTTGCAGGGTTGGAGGGTGGGGTGTTGCTGACTCTCATCATACAAAGAATCCAACAGCTACACTTGGGATATGCACCTCTGGCAGATGGGGATCTGATCTTGGATAAGACAGCGATGGTGTATTTCACTGCAGGGCCTTAGCTGTACAACTTCTTTTGCGTCTGGGATTAGAGTCTTAAAAAATCCGTTTACATGATTTCCTGTCACTTCAAGAGAAAACTCTACGTCTGTGAGTTTGTGAATAAACAGAACTGTCTTACCCCAGCTCCTTGCGTAGTTGCCTCCTTCTCATCATTCGGGGAAGATCGTGGGCCTGGGCTGAAAAGTCTCCTCCTCTGAGAGGCTTCCTGGGCTGCTAAATCCTTTCTCCCCCTCCCCTACCCCAACACTTAGCAGGTATTAGGCAGGGCAGGGGCCTTGCCAGCCTCACTACAGTAACTATATGGTCTAGGACAGCGCCTGATGCAGTGTTATAGTCATTATGGCTAATCATTACTGATGTTTGCTGTGTGCTGGGCATTGTTTGGTGCCCTTATCTGTAACATTTAATCCAGACAATGGCCATGTGTGATAGGGCCATTACTAGCCCAATTTCATAGAGGAAATGGGGGAATAGAAGGGTGAGGTCATTGCCCAAGGTGAGTGAGGGGCAGAGTCATAGCAGGAAGTCAAATATTTGTTAAATGAACAGGTCATTGAAAATCATTGATCTGTTCTCTACATGCAGGAAACAAGCAAAGCCATCTGGTGACGTCTTTGCTGAGACTTGGGGAGTGGGACTTGGTTCTGCTCCATCCAATTTACCTCTGGCCCCTCTCTCCCTGCTCTACCTCCATCCACTCTGCCCCACTCGGGTGCGCTTTAAGCAGCGGTCGCCAACCAGTGGTCCATGAGGTCTGAAAGGCTGGCGACCGCTACTTTAAAGAGTAATTTTTTTAAAACTCTTATAGGCTTTGCTGGGGCCAAAGTTAAGCTTGCTTTAACACACATAGCTGCCTGTTAAAAGCTTTGCCCATGACATTTCCCAGAGGCGCCTCTTCTCCTTACCTGAGAAGCTATAGAGACTCGAGAATCCCCTGCCTGTAGTGAGTAAAGAGAGAGAATGCTGAAGGTTTAAGATCAGAGCTATGTTTCTAAAACATAAACTTGTCTCCTCCCCTCATTAAACCACCAGGCTCCCTGGGGCCTTTAGGACAAAGTTTCTAGCGCTACTGCCTGTCCCCCTGCGGCTCCCTCTCACACTGTTTTCCCCTCCGCTCTCTAAGGCAGGGAGGGGTTGGTCAACTTGCTGGAAAGGGCCAGATAGTAAACATCTCTGCTTTGTGGGCCAGGTGGTCTCTATTTCGACCACTTGCCGCTGCGGATGAAGCATGAAAGCAGCTGGACAAGTATGGCTGGGCCCAAAAAACCTTCTTTATTGACACTGAAATTTGAGCTCCCTATAATTCTAATGTGTCATGAAATATGAGTCTTCTGATTTTTTTTTTTCCAACCACATTAAAAGATTCTTGGCTTGCAGGCCATAAAAAAATCAGTGGCAGCCTGGATTACTGCCCCTCCTCCCCACCCCAGGTATAGTCGGGTAACCTTCAGAGGTCTTCCCTAAGCCCTGGACTAGGTTGAATCCCTTGTCATATACTCTAAGCCCCCCTCCCCCAATACCATTGATAGTATTTCCCTTTCCTTAGCATTTAAAGTCTCTCTCCCCCCAAGATGCTAAGTTCTTTAGGACAAAGCCCATGTGGGGCTCCTCTATTTCTGAAACCCCAGTGCTCTGGCCACCCAGACTTCTGGTTGCCCAATAAAAGTTTGTTGACTTGCACTGGATGTTCCCAGCACATTTCATTTTCTATTATTAATGTTGACGACAGGCATGCACTGTCTGCAAGCTCGGCATATCCTAATTCCTCGGGGGCATTGGAATTCAGGCCACAGGGTAGCTGGCTAATCTTAACTCCTTGGTTTGGCATGAGCTATCCATCCCCCAATTAAGAAGCCTCGAGTTGCAGGTGCAGGTTGTGTCTACAGGCACAACTGGTTTGGCAATTCAGTTAAAACGCTCCAACCACCTGTGCCTGTGGACGCAGCCCAGAGCAGGCAGCCACGTGGGCCACAGAGACGCTTACTGAGGAGGGAGAGCTCCACGACCAGGACGCCCCCTGTCTGGTCCCGGAGGAGGCGCTTCCGCTTGTCGCAAGTCTGAGGACCCAGGAAGAGCGCAGGTGAGAGGCGGTGGAAGGCGGGCGGGTGCGGGGAGGGGTGAGAAATGAAACACAGGAGAGAAAGGCGAGAGGTTAAAAGAACAGCCACAAACTTAATGGAGTCCAAATTCCCCAGCTAACAGATACTAATTACCTTCTCTTTAAAAACAACTCAGAAAGGTATCTTCAGCCCTTCTTTCACGGGAGGGAAGGAGGAACGCTTTACTGTACTGATTCTTCGCGCTGGCGTGGGAGGGATGGGCAATTGGGGGGAGCGGGTAAGAAACAAGGCTTTTCCACCCTGGCCCGTTTGGCTCAGTGGATAGAGCGTCACCCTGTGGATGGAAGGGTCCCAGGTTCGATTCCGGTCAAGGGCACATGTCCGAGTTGCAGGTTCAATCCCCAGTAAGGGGTGTGCAGGAGGCACCAGATCAATGAGTCTCTCATCACTGATGTTTCTATCTCTCTCCCTCTCTCTTCCTCTCTGAAATCAGTAAAAATATATTAAAGAAAGAAAGAAAGAAAGAAAGAAAGAAAGAAAGGCTTTTCCTACAGTCACTCTCAGAGTGGAGAGGTGGACACTTTCAAAGTGTGTTCTAGTTCATTTTTTTAAATGTCGTGCCAATAATTATCCCTTTATCAACTGTTACATGTGTCTTGCTCCCTTCTCTTTCTCTATTTGTGCTCATACGTGACCATTTTCTGGCCAAATGAATCAGAGAGGATGATCGTGTGTCTGTTGGTTACTATAGGCCAGTGAGCAGCGCCCCCTTCAGAAATGCCGTGTCCTCCTCACCAAGCTTTTTAGTCTGGACAGATCTGAGAGATAAACGTTTGGATGTAACCCTTTAGGTCTCTACACAGAGGTTCTCGCTTCAGGGTGACCCAGTAGCACCAGAAGGGCTTGGGAAAGCACAGATGGGGGGAGGGGAAGCACCCAGAGTTTCTGCATCAGGTGGTCTGGGGGCGGGACTGAGGATTTGCATGCCTAACAGGTTCCCAGGTGATACTAAAGCTGCCCTGGTCCACACTTTAGACACAGTGGTTCTCAACCTTCTGGCCCTTTAAATACAGTTCCTCATGTTGTGACCCAACCATAAAATTATTTTCGTTGCTACTTCATAACTGTAATGTTGCTACTGTTATGAATCGTAATGTAAGTATCTGATATGCTGGGTGGTCTTAGGCGACCCCTGTGAAAGGGTCGTTCGACCACCAAAGGGGTCGCGACCCACAGGTTGAGAACCGCTGCTAGAACCACTGCCCAGAGGAGCAGGGTCACCTCTGGTCGCAATGAAGCTGTCTCCAAATCTGCTACACCTGCTGATTGGTGCTGTTGAAACTTCTCTGTGGGGGGAGGGGCTGAGGAGGGGAAACTATTCAGTCAAGAGCTAAAAATACCCGCCTTTTGACTTCCATCCAGAACCTATTGCTACCACTGAGATTTTACATTTCCCTTGTGCTTTTACCTTTTTCAAAGCATTTCCACGTCTGGCATCACCTTTATCTTACCTCCCCTTGGCTCTCTGGAAAGGAAAGGTGCCTGTGACTGGTCACCACTCCTCTTTAGAGAAGAGAAAGCCAGGCTCCGAGGTTAAGTGACACGTGCCAGACTGTGCAGCCTGGTGGCGGGGTGGACAGGGCCCAGAAGTCTGTCCCACACTCAGTGTCCTTTCCTCCAGAATGTCCTCAGCCCTCAGCTGCCCTGGTCTGGTTACAGTTTCCCGGCTAAATACAGCCTCTCCAATGCCAGTCCCCCACCCCTACCCCCCAACATTCTCGCTGTGGGGAGAGGTGGCTCACCACTGGGCAGGAGAGCTTCTCGCTGTCGCAAATGAACGTCTCACAGTGTAACCAAACCTTGGAGAGCTTGGGGATGTTCTGGAACCGGAAGGCGTTGAATTGGAAGGTCGCCCTGTGATCTTTCCCGTTCTCATGCACCAGGACGGTTTCATCCGTGGGGCAGCTGAAACACATGGGGGCGGGGCGGGGAAAGGGGGAGGGAAGAGAGAAGATGTTAGTTACCCTGTGACAGAGCAAGGGCCTCTTGGGCACGCTCATGCAGAGTGGCACCACCCTCGGGGCTCCTCCAAAGCACCATTTCACATGTAGGAAAAGCAATGAGGGAGCCGAGAAAATAAATAAATAAATAATTCTCTGCCACAGAGCCCAAATTTTCCTGAGTTTTCCTAAATCCAACTCTGCTTTTTCCTCTTTCCTCTTTCTCACACTGTTTTTCATCTCAAGAATTTTGCTTTGGCCTCATCTTGTCTTTGGTTACAAAAGCCTATATGTTCTTGAAGATTTAACTAAAAAATCACTATAAC